CACATCTGGTGCCGATTCGTTCGTCTCGGGGGCCGTTGAAGCCACTAGGGCGCCACCACACCATGCTATGTCATGCTACGCGTTGATCTTCAACACCATGCTCTGCCATGTAATGCCGTGCCATGCTGCGACGTCCGGTTGTTCGAACAGAGAGGCAATCTGCCCCACGGTAAAGGATGGGAGGGAGGGGCAGGAGGTCAGATATGGCGCGAGCGCCCCTGGCTTGCCCTCCCCCTTCCCCCAGTCCTTCCCCCTCCCCCCTTCTCCCCCCATCTCCCTTCCCCCGTCCCCCCCAACCCCGCCTTCCCCCCTCCCCATTTCCCCCATTCCTCCCCCCCCCCTCCTCCCGCCTCCTCACCCTGCACGTCCTCCTCCTCCTCCGCCTGCTCTCCCTCCCCCCCCCCACCGAGAAGCCCCCCTCTCGGAGAGTGGGCGTCTGACCCCTCGAGGGCGTGTCAGTGACAAGGTGCCCCTGGGATGGGGCGCCCCAACGAGATGTCTCAACACCCTTGCAACAACCCCTGGGCGGAGGATAATAAGAGCTGTGTGCCCCCTTTAGGGTCCCTCTCAAGACTCGGCGACGAGCACGGGGGGGAAGTGAGATGGGGCAGGCCTGTTCAGGAGGCTCGGAAGTCCCCCAGCCTTCTGAAAAGTGTTCTAAACCTTCTCCGAAGACACACACAAAACTGCTCAGAAGGCCACGGGGCCCGCCGCCTTGTGAGAAGGCCTCCTCCCTCTCGATTCCCCCTCGGGCGCGCCGCCGAAAGAGAGGCCCTTCATCGCAGAAGGGAAACACCCAGGAACACCACCACCCCAACCTGCCCCCTCCCCCTCATCTTCCCCCCCCTCCCCCTCCACTTCCTCACCTGAGATCCGACGTAGAGAAAAAATGGAACCGTCGTGCAGCATCACGCCCGGAGCCCTAGACCCGACATTCATGCGCCATTTTCCGCGCCAGATCCATCTGCGAGGGCCCACGGGGGCCCGAACAAGGATGCGGAGACGCCAGGCTCGAAACTGTTGCGCGTCGCCCGGATCTCAGCCGCCGGGATCTCAGGGCCCTCCGCCTCCCCGGCCCCCTCCCCCCCCCCCGCCCCACCCCTTCGACGCCTGCCTCCCCGTGGCGGGGCGGCGTGCTCCCAGGGCAGCGCTCGGGCCCGAAAAAGCGCTCGGGCCTCCAGGGGCCGTGATCGGGACGGCCCCTGCGCCCCGGGATCGGGCAGGGACCGACCGCCCCGGCGTTCCGATAGGCCTACCGCACAAGGCTCTCGGAGCCAGACCATGTCCCCAGAACCACAAGTGCTCTGAGAACCCACACCCGACGTGCGAAAGCAAGACGGCCTCGGCCAGAAATGTTCCCAGAGCAGTCCGAGCAGACCACACAAGGTTCGCAGAACACTCTCCGGTGGGCCCATATAGGGAAGCCAGGACGCTTCGCCACACCTCGGCTGGAATGTCTTCGACGAGGCGCCCGGGCCTCGGCGACTCCCGAAAACTGCCGGGGGGAACCTTGGAAAACTTACGCCCCTGAGCCTACAGTCGGCCCGCATGAGAAGGACGCACGATATGGATGCAGGAGGGCCTTGGCTTTGGAAGGCCGTCTCGACGCTTTTCGAGCGGGGCGCGGCCCAGGAAGGTGGCCAAGGATGGACCGAGGAGTCAGGGATGCAAGGGCACCCTTGGGAAGATTGCCCATCCTTACTACGCGGGTTGACTGTACCCCCCCTGAGCATCCCTGGGGAAACCAAAAGGTACCCATACCGCTACTGCCCGGACCTCTCCCAGGGTGCGTTCTGACCAGGATTTCGAGGCGAATCCAGCGGTGGCGACGAGGCCCCCCCCCCCCAGGAGGCCCAAAAATGAAAACGGGGCGAGGGGGTAGAGGCATGGGTACCTTTTCCTCCTCCGCCTCCCCTCCCCCTCGTGCTCCCCCGCCGCCGTTCCTCGATCTGGTGCAGCGAGTGCGCCTTGGCGCGGAAGCGCATCCGCTTGACCGCCTGTGCGTGGGAGGGGCCAGCGTCGGAGGAAGAAGGGGGGGGGCGAGAGGAGCGGGAGGGGGAGGATGGAGCTGACGCGGAGGAGGGGAGAGACAACTGGGTGTCCCAAAACCGTGTGGTGACAGACCCGGCAAGACCTCGAAAAATCCGCAAAGACCTCACCGCACGGTCCGTCACCACACGGCTTTGGGACCCTGGAGGCTCCAGTCGCCCGAGACGTCCTCGGAGAACGACCCGAGTCCCAGAACCGTGCGGTGACCCCGAATCCCCACCGACTCACCACACGGTGTGGTCACCACCCCGTTTGGGAGCCCCCGAGACAAAGGTAGAAAAGGCGTGTGGGGGGACCGCCGGAAGACCGCCACAGCCCGCCCAGGGCCGATGAGCAATAGGGGCCATGGTCGAATGCGTAACGAACGCGATCAGTCGTGCGGGGGGAGCAGCAGGAGGGGAGGAGGGACACGATGGGGGGAAGCAAGACTCGAGCTTCGAGGCTCAGGACGTGGCGGGCCCCGCGCGCGGGAGCCAGTTCTGGTCTCGAACAGGTGGGGGAGGGAAGAGGAGCAGCAGGAGAAGCGGGAGGAGCGGGAGGAGGAAGAGCATGGCGGACACCAAGGCCGGGAGAGGACAGTCAGGGGGATGGCCAGGAATGGCCAGGAAGACGGGCCATGCGGAGGAGGAGGAGGAGGAGGAGGAGGAGAAGGAGGAGGAGGGGGAAGAGGGGGAGGAGGAGGAGGAGGAGGAGGAGGAGTTGGCGGATGGGGGAGGGATCGGAACTACGAAGAGAAGAAAGGAGGAGGAGGAAGAGGAGGAGGAGGAGGAGGAGGAGGAGGAGGAGGACGGGAAGGAGAAGGCGGAAGAGGAGGAGGAGGAGGATGAGGAGGAGGAGGACAGACGCTTGGGGGCTTGGGTGGGAAGGGAGGGAAGAGAGAGCGGTTGGAGGCGGGGAGAGGGCGAGAAAGGCTCAGGGGCAGAGGAGAGCAAGCGAGCGCGCAAGCGCGCTGCCATCGGATCCGGGGATCCGGCCCTGAACATGGCGGCGCGGCGGGGCCTCGGCCCTCAGATCAAACCGTAGGTTTCCACGGCATCTGACCCTCGTTCCCGCTGTCCTCCGTGACGGCGCGGGTGATGTGGTTGAGCAGGTAACCACTGCAGAACCCACTTTGCTCACGAGTGTTCCGATCTTCGGCTCGCAGGTGGTGGTATTGTTTACAAGAGGAGAACGAGGGGTACATGACGGAGAGATTTGAGGAGGAGGAGGCGTTGGACAGGAGCAGGAGGATCGGGAGTATGACGAACTGAAACTGCTTATGGGCCTGCTCATTGACCGACTTCAAAGCCCCTGCTGGCAATCCTCGCTGGAGCTTCATCAACTGCTGCCTGCGGATGTGCAACTCCGATCCCGATGTGTCCTGATCCCGCACAACCTGTGCAACAAAGCTGCCGCAACTTGAATCCGCGTGATGCACAGGAATGCGGAAGCTGTG